TATTTTTTCAGCATTTGAAAGAAAGGAGAGCATTTATCGGCTGACCGCGGGATGAATCGCCCGAGGGCGGCCATTTTCCCATTGAACGCTTGAATCTCTTTGATGGTCTTTGGTGGCTTCAAGCTGCGTATGGCCTCGATTTGCTTCGGGTTGGCTTCTATTCCTCTTTTGGTGATCATAAATCCGAGGAATTTCCCAACTTCGGCTCCAAAGACGCATTTGAGGGGGTTGAGCCTCAAATTTCTTCGTCTTAGCGTTTCGAATGTTTCCCTTAGATCCGCCAAGTGGTCTCTTGCTTTCTTGCTCTTGACTAGCACGTCGTCAACATATGCCTCCACGTTCCTCCCCATTTGGTCCTTGAAGACCGCATCCACCATGCGTTGGTAGGTCGCCCCGGCGTTTTTCAACCCGAATGGCATAACCACATAGCAGAAGTTACCCATGGGTGTCATGAAGGCTGTGAGTTCCTGGTCGCTTTCAGCCATTCGGATTTGATGGTACCCCGAGAACATGTCCAGGAAACTCAGTGCTTCGTGGTTGGCGGTCCCATCGATTAGCTGGTCGATGCGAGGCAGGGGGTATGAATCTTTGGGGCATGCTGCGTTGAGGCTTGTGAAATCAATGCACATCCTCCATGCGCCTCCTGCTTTCCGTACGAAGACGGGATTTGAGAGCCATGTGGGATACTTCACTTCTCTGATAAAACCGGCCTTGAGGAGCCTCCGCACTTCCTCTTCAAGGGCCATATGTTTTTCCACCGATAGGTGTCTTCTCCGTTGTTGTATGGGCCGCATCTTCGGCTTAACCGAAAGGTGGTGTTCGGATATGTGGCGGGGCACACCTGGCATGTCTTCTGGTCCCCATGCGAAGAGGTCTTGAAACTCTCGGAGGAGTGTCAGAAGCTTCTGAGCTTCTTCGACCACTAGGTGGGTTGAGATGCGTACAGTCCTGTCGGGGCGTTCCTCGTCGAGGGCGACCGCAACGTCGCCTAGCCTCGGGACGTGGAACATCGCCCCTCGCGTCCACAAGGTCAACCTCGAGATGCTCGCGGTTGCCTGGTAGCACTCTTTGGCTTCCTTGATGTTTCCTCGTACATGGCCCATCTGTCCTCCGCTGGGGAACTTCAGCATTTGGTGGCATGTCAAGGCGACTGCTTCAAAGGAGGCCAGAAAACCGCGTCCTAAGATGGCATTGTACGCGGAGGGGCAATCCGCCACATGGAACTCTACCGGCCTTGTCTTGGTTATGCCTCCTTCGCCAATAGTGACTTTCAGGGTGATTGAGCCCAAGACTCGGACTTTCGTTCCTGAGAAGCCCACCAGGCTGGTGTTGGAGGGATTAAGGTCTTGCACGCTTTTCTTCATTCCCTTAAGCGCGGAGTAGAAGAGAATGTCGGCGGAGCTTCTGTTGTCTACGAGAGCTCGGGTGACTTTGAACTTCGCGGTTCTGAAGGAGATGACTAATGGGTCTTCCGAATTTTCTTCTTTTGCCAGCTCAGATGGCAGGAAGGTCACGTCAGTGGTTGCCCTTCCCTGAACGTTGAGGCCTTGAGCTATGCGGTCTCCTTCGGACCGGGGTCGCTTTCGCCCTCCCGCGATTGTGATGACCTCCATTCCATCGTCGTCATTGCGTTGGGGACGGTAGGCGGGAGACTTCCTCTGGGGTGATGCGGCCTTATTCCTGGACGGAGATCTAGACCGTTATTTTCGTATTCTTCTTGTCTTCTCGTGGTCGGGGCTGTGGGAGTCCTCTCTCGCCTCTTGAGAATCGCCGCGATGAGGGCGTCTCGTTTCCAGCCGACTCCGCAGGTCGCCGGGGGCTAAGTACTTGAGGCTAGCCTTAAACTCCCGACACTCTGTGGTGTCGTGAGTAGTGATTTGGTGCCATTCGCACCACTTCTTCCCTTCTTGGGGTTCTTGTCCTGAGGAGGCTTCATGCTTTCTCCCCCCTCTTCGACTTTCTCTCCCTCTCTCACGGTCTGTGGAGAGTACTTCTTTCCGACCGTCCCGCTCAGAATACCGATTGCGATAGGATCTGCGCTCCGGGGAGCGCCTTCCCCGTCGCGTATCTCCTCGGTCTTGTTGGTCTCCTGGCGGTCGTCCTGACTGGGAGCGGTCGTCCGTCGCCACAGCCTCTTCGAGCAAGATCGCTCGTCGTACCAACTGGTCTAGCTCGGACCAGGAGGTCAGGGCCGCCTCCTTCTTTATCAAAGTTCTCTTGAGTTCAATACTAGTCGTCGATATCCGGAGGTTGCCGGTGGCCACGACTGAGGAGATACCGTCTATTTCGCATGCGATCGCATTCCAGCGGTCATAGAACTCGGCGAGTGACTCCTCCTTCTTCTACCGGCAATTGATGAGGGCGGAGACGGTAAGTTTGCGTCGTCTCTGCGACACAAACTTCGTTGAGAACAGCATCGCAAACTGCTGAAAGTTCTCGATGATTCCCTCTAGGAGGGAGGTATACCAAGTGCGACATTGACCGCTGAAGGTCACTGGGAACGCTTTGCACAGATCCGAGTCTGAGGCGTTGATGAGTTGCATCTTTAGCATGAAAGCGCAAAGGTGGTATGCGGGATCTGATGTCCCGCTGTAGGTAGGCAGACCTAGCGAGGAGAAATTAGGTGGGACCGGGGTTTTAAACAGCTCTCTCGATAGCGGATTTTGCAGCACGTTAGGACTCTTGTGCTTCCCGTAAGTCGATCTCAAATGTTCCTCTAAGAATCCAAGGTCTGCTTCTTCCGCGTCCGGTCCTCCGCCTTCTGTCCGAGCAGGGCTGTCGAGGACTTGAACGATTTTTTGCTTTTCTTCGCGTGCTTTCGCTTTGGAACCTTCCGCGGTCTCCTCTCTCGTCCTTAAGAGCTGAAGGATTTGAGAAAGGCTGTCTTGCATGTTTGCTATCTGCACGCCTGCCTTTTGACCACTTCTTCGAGTTCAGTTTCGTCTTCGACTCTCGGCGATAGGCCTCGGAGGGTGTTGTTGTCTGTCATCCCTTTGAGAGGGGTCTCGAAATCGTCTCCCATTCCTTCGGCGATGAAGTCGTGAGCCCCACGGTGGGCGCCAAAAATGTTTGTGCCTGGATTGTCCCAGGCGGTTATATGAGACTCCACGACCCCTGGCGGCTTGGCAGATGGGAGGCGGTCTCCAAGACCCTGCAAGAAAGGTCCTCAGGGGTTACCTGGGACCTCCTCCGAAGCTTAAGTTAGAGAGAGAAGTGAGTGAAAATGTAAATAGAGAGAGAATTCGGTGGATAGGAGTTACCATAAATGCTGCCCCTTTGGGGCTATTTATACTAGCCTAGGCTTGGAACCAAGACATTTAATGTTGTGTCGAGCGGTCTGGGACGCCTCTGACCTTATTAAATGTTGTGTCAGTACGGATGTCTGTCTTTCTCTGCCTGGCAGGGTTTTAGTCCTTCTGTCGGGCGGTTTTCTGACGTGTGGCTGGCGTGTATGTCGGGCGGTCACCACGTTGGACATGGTTAGCCTGTTCTGTCTTTGGCCTATTTTTCGTGGACTTTTGTAACCATGGGCCTCAGGCCCACGTATGCCAATACTAGGCCCAACAATAACGGATACCCTAGCATAATTACTGGAACGTTAACATAATCATTATCAAATTCAGTCATATGATGAGTATGACTCGCATGAATGAAATGCCTTCTGGTGTGGAAGAAGAAACGTATTACATCTCACATGCATGGTAATTGGTAGGTAGGTTAGAGAAAGGGACCACGTTTTGTAAATCAGTAGAGAAAAAGACAAACAAATCACGGGTTATATAAAACCACGTTTTGTAAATTCACTCTTTTGGGTTTTTGTTCCTTTTTTGGAAAAAAGCCAAAGAAAAAACCATTCTCTAGGATTTTAGTTGCACAGACCAGCCACGTGGAGGGTTGCTATTGGAGAGACTCAGATTTTTATATGTTTTGATTGGTTGTGTTGTTTATCTCCTCCCTTTGTGGTTCATATTTGTAGAGGTGAGATTCATAAAATGAAAAAAGACAAAAAAAAAAAAAGAAGGAGAGATTTCTAGAGGTGAGGATTAGGGTTTCAGAGATGTGGTGTATGTTTACGATATGGGATGAAATGGACAATGATATCTGGAGATTTCGAAAGAGGGGGGGAGGGGAAGCTGCTCATCATATGGCCAGAGTTCTTCAATTTTTGAGAGGTCTTCAATTTTTCTAGTTCTTTAATTACAAATTGACGGTAGGTGACCTGCAAGTGATTAAATGAAATTTCACGAATCATGATAAAAAAATGTATGAGAGGTACTTAAAGATAATGATATAAGATATGTAATTCACAATAAATAATTTAATTTATACTTAGCTTTTTTTTTTTTTGTTTTATAACATTCTTGTCGACGTTAAGTGGTCCCCTACTGATTATCACCCTAACTATTAACTTGAATTTAATAAAAAAAATTATGATTTCATTTGTGATAATTTACAATGATTTGTTCGAACTTTTGGTGATGAATGATATATATGAATTTGAATTCATTTATGATTATTGATGAATTCAGTTCTAATCAATATATTATGTATGGTCTCTATGCTATAGCACATAAATGGTTCTATCAACTATTTTATAACGGTTAATCGCTGAACCACACATGCACCACCAACTTTTTCGGTTCGGTATCCGTTCCTGTTCTGTAAAAATAGGTATTTATAGCTACATATACACATATTAGTTAAAAGATTAGTTTATTAAAGTATTGACAGTATAGTAACACTTATAATTCATGGAAAAAAACTAATCATCAAAGTAAATTGAATCATGAAAAAAAAAACAATCATCAACACAACTCAATTCATTTCTCTTAGATTTGGGTAGAAAAGGGGGGAATTGTTGTAGTGTGGTCCTAAACAAGATAAAAATTCAACAACATTGGTCGATTCAGTTAATGGCCAGTTGACACGATAACCTGGAAGTACTATTTGGAATTACTAGTGTCCCCCAAACATTTCAGTGACCATTTATGTAATAAACCCACAACTCAAAATCGGGAAAATCCTATATATATAAGCCGTATCTCCTTACCTCCATTGTCAAGCACATAAGAGTGAGGCTTTTTTGGCTATTGTTTCTTCGGAGAGAGATGGGAATGAAGTGGGTTCCTCGTGGTGCTGCGGCAATTGTTCTTGCCCTAGCTCTGCTGCTACTGGGTTTTGCAGCAGAGGTCAGCAATGGCGGAATAACCAGCAGTTTCTTGAGGAAATACGACCTTTCCAAAGACATGACGCTGGACAGCGACGTGTTCAAAGCCCCTCCTGGCTACAATGCTCCTCAGCAGGTCTTACTTAATTAATTTCATGCCACCATTCCCATATGGGAATTCTAAAGCTTTGATTATTATATTCCAGTTCAAATTAGTTAATTAATTAAGAAATAATAACAAGGACATGCAGTAATGGAATACCTGATTATATATAATAGTATTCATGCATGTACGTATCCTATTATATAGAATACTGGTGGTGCGTACGTAAGTGAATTTGATTTATTTTGATTTGGGATGATGGGGAAATTAAAGGTGCACATTACACAAGGAGATATGGAGGGGAAGGGTGTTATAGTGTCGTGGATTACACCAGACGAGCCAGGCTCCAATATTGTGCTGTATTGGGCTGAAGGCAAAGCCAAGCAGAAGAGTCGTGCTGAAGGGACGGTTTTGCAGTACAAGTATACCAATTACACTTCTGGTTACATTCACCACTGTACCATCAAAGGATTGGAGGTATTATATTATATCCAATGTGATTGAGAAACTTGTGGGAGCTTGTGGAGGGATGGCATTGGGATGACTCGTTGGGTAATTTGATTTAATTGTCATGATCCATATGGATATTGGGTTGGACTCAAATGACCCATGTATTTTTAGTGAATTTGGGTTTGAATTAGATCCGATTTGGGTTAAGTCGAATGGGTCTATTTTGGGTTTAGATGATTGTACACACAAAATGAAAATATCGATCATCTCATTAACTGCCTTCAACCTAGTTACACATTTAATGTTCTGATTCCAACTCTGTTTGTTCCATAACAAAAAAAAAAAAAAGACATAAACTGCATTAGAATTGGTTACTCGTTTTCATTTTGGGCATCCAATTATATAAATTCAATTTAGACACATATGTATGTTTATGCTCAAAAAATAAAACTGCCCAAACTTGACTTGGTCTATGATAAGTTGGATTTGGAGAGTACCAAAATATTGAGTCTTTTTTGCGAGCTCGTGGTAGTTTTAAATTCAGTCTGTGAGTTCTGAATCAGATATGATCCAATTTAATGGTTGCAGTTTGAGACAAAGTACTACTATGAGGTGGGGATTGGAAGCAAATCCAAACGCCAGTTCTGGTTCACAACCCCACCTAAACCTGGCCCTGATGTCCCTTACACCTTTGGCCTCATAGGTAAATTACAATTACTTCGTCAAATTTTCTTTCACAATTCGAATTATTGGAAGTAACTGAAGATGTGCTTGTTGTGAATTACATATGTGTTGTGTTGTGTTGTATTGTTCCACTTGGCGAGCAGGGGATCTTGGTCAGACTTACGATTCCAACAAGACGGTCGACCACTACATGTCCAATTCGATGAACCCACAGACGCTGTTGTTCGTGGGCGACCTGTCTTACGCCGATGCTTACCCGTTGGGCGACAACACGAGGTGGGATACATGGGGAAGGTTCACTGAGAAATTGGTCGCGTACAAACCCGCGATTTGGTCTGCAGGAAACCATGACATCCAAGTCCTCCCTGAAAATGTAAACACTGCTAATACAGCTTCTTCAACTCTGTTTTTGAATCTTGATTGGCTAAAATTGTTGGAATTGGTAGCTATAGTAATGTGGTATGTGACATGTAACCTGGATGCAGGGTGAGAACGAACCATTTCAACCTTATATCAAACGTTACCCAACACCCTACAAGGAATCAGGGAGTTCATCTCCATTGTGGTACTCTGTCAAGAGGGCTTCTGCCTACATCATTGTCCTCTCAAGTTACTCTGCTTCTGGTAATGACGCCCTCTTGTTGATTAATTTGTTTCACCCAATTCAATTTAGTTGGAATTTTCGTTAACTTTCTCAATCATTTCGAGAATGCGCGATTTCTGACTAATACATTTTCCCCTCTTGTCTAGTTGTACTTTTTTTCATTTTGGGTTCATATAAAACTTTCAACAACAGTTTCGAAATGTTAAAGTCTACCAAGATAATTCTTACAACGAGTCACTATACACCGACATTATATATACACAGCTGTACAATCTCCTCTAAAACGCGTGATTTCTCAAATTCATATACTCCGTGATAGCCGCTAAACAACCCGGCTCTTGATTGCGCCCTATCATTGTTCCTTTTCAATGTATGATGATGAATCTGACAAATAATCAACAATATGCAAAATCGAAAGAACACACAGGATTTTTTAACGTGGTATCGTCAGTATGACACTAGTCCACGGAGAGGATCTCCCTCTCAGGTTTTTTGTCTTTCTTATTTTCGTTAACCTTAATCAACAGATACAACAAGGTATTTATAGGTTTGCTAACACAAACCCTAGCTTCATAATTACACATTGGTACCTACACTAAATATAATCAACACCCTCCCTCAAATTGATGTTGGGATCTCAACATCAATTTGGAAGACAGATACCAATGTCTACTTGAGGAAACAGCCTTTGTCAACAAATCAGCAGTCTGTTCCTCTGTTGCCAAATAACTTAGCTGAATCTGGCCTTCTGCAACCAACTGTCGAATATAATGAACATGCACTTCTATATGCTTTGTCCGATCATGCAAAACAGGATTGTTGGCAATCTGAATAGCACTTGTGTTGTCCCCATAAATCCGCATAGGTCGTTCACACTCGACACCCAACTCTTGAAACAGTCTTTGCAACCAAATCATCTCAGAACTAACTTCAGACATTGACCGGTACTCCGCTTCTGTAGAGGATTTAGACACTTTATCCTGCTTCCGACACCTCCAGGACACAAAGGACCTTCCAAATCTAATACACCAACCCGAGGTTGACCTCCTTGTGTCCTGACATCCTGCAAAATCAGCATCAGCGAATGCCTCAAGCGAAGGAGTTCCACCACTGGGAAATATCAATCCAACCTCAGATGTATGTTTTAGATATCTAAGTAACCTGTGAACGGCATCAAGATGTGTTGTTCTAGCAACTCCCATAAATTGACTGACCACTTGCACTGCATATGCGATATCAGGTCGAGTGTGTGTTAGATAAATCAAGCTTCCCACTACACTCCGGTAATAAGTCTGATCTTCCAACAATTCACCACTCTCCCTATTAAGCTTCAAATTCTGTTCCATGGGAGTACTACATGGCCTGCAGGAATGATAACCTGTGGCTGTAAGAAGATCATGTATGTACTTCTTCTGACTAACAAACAACCCCGCTTCAGACCGACTTACCTCCAAGCCCAGAAAATAAGATATCTCACCAAGCTCCTTCAAGTTGAAAGCCGAATGCAGTGACTCTGTTAGTTCTCGAATTCCATCACTATCACTGCCAGTAACAATCATATCATCAACATAGAGCAACAAGACAATCATCCCATGTATCGTGTGCCTGATAAACATAGAGGGATCATTTTGACTCTGTAGAAAACCAGCTTGAAGAATAGTCCCGTGAAATTTCTCGAACCACGCCCTAGGCGCCTGTTTCAAACCATATAATGAACGACGAAGCCTACAAACCACATCCTTCCCCCCCTTGGAGTAACCTTCAGGACATTCCATGTAAATTGTTTCCTTTAGATCACCATGTAGAAAAGCATTTTTCACATCGAACTGAATGATGGGCCAGTTCCGTATAGCTGCTACAGCAAACAGACTCCGAACAGTCTGCATTTTAGCAACTGGAGCAAAGGTCTCATCGAAATCTATCCCATACTCCTGTTTAAATCCTTGAGCTACCACCCGAGCTTTGAAGCGCTCAATAGAACCATCGGGATACATCTTAATCGCGTACACCCAACGACTCCCAATAACAGACATACCCGGCATACGAGGGACCACATCCCAGGTGTGTTGAGCCTCCAAAGCATCGATCTCAGTATTCATAGCGGCATTCCATCGCGGGTCATTCTTCGCAAACCTGTAGTGAGTAGGGATAGAAATAGCTTCATCAGTGGAGTAGCCTACGTAATCAAAAAGGCGAGAAGGAGGTTGGCCAATATTGGCCCGATTAGATCGACGTGGAGCAGGTAGAGGAGGCGGGACTTCGAGCTCCAAGCTCGCACTAGACGAGGAAGTGGAAGATTCCCCCAAAGAAGACTCAACATGAGAAGAGCTGCCAGCAGCAGAAGACCCACTCGAAGAATTAAGGGACGCGTGCTGGGCAGTAGGGGTACCAGGTGGCGTGGGCAATACCTCATTATTTCCTTCCCCATACAAAATTGCTTCTTCATTATTATTATGATTATTACCACCAGGGGGCTCAAGAGGCGGACCAGGTCGAGTAGCCAAGGATTCAAAAGTAGGCAACTGGACGAGGAAATTAAGAGCAGACAAATCCGGGGCCGAGGAAGCATCATAATACATAGCCTCTTCCAGAAAAGTGACATGACAGGAGATGCGCATCCGACGTTCGTGAGGATCATAACACAGATAGCCTTTATGCTGAGAACTATAACCAACAAAGACACACCGGGCAACCTTAGGAGAAAGCTTATGTCGCGACTTCTTGGAGAGCAGTACAAAACATACACAGCCAAAGACCCGAAGACGGGAGTAGTCGGGAAGCTTGGAGTATAAGCAGTGAAAAGGTGAGCGATCTCCCAAGATAGATGTGATTTGACGGTTAATTAAATACACCACTGTGCCAACAGCTTCCACCCAAAAGGTAGTAGGGACATGCGAATGGAAAAGGATAGCACGAGTTAACTCAAGAACGTGCCGATGCTTCCGTTCCACCAGACCATTTTGCTGCGAGACGCCGGGACATGACTGTTGGGGAAGAATACCACGAGAAGCATAAAAGTCAAGCAAGGGAGTAGCTATAAACTCCCCACCGGGATCCGAACGAATAACTTTGACTCGCCGACTGAACTGAGTCTCAACCATTTGAACAAATGACTTAGCATGATCAACTAACTCCGACTTCTGACGCAAGAAATATATCCACGCATAGCGAGTATGATGATCCACGAATAATGCAAAGTAGCGAAATCCCAAGCGAGAAGTAATGGGTGATGGTCCCCAGAGATCAGTATGAATAAGATCAAAAGGAGAATCATACTGCGTCTCGCTCTTAGTAAAAGAAGACTGGGTGGCCTTAGCCTCAATACAGCTAATACAGGGATGAGCAGGATGATATTTCGGATCAATAGATGCAGGTAATAGATTACGTCGAAACATATGCAACAAACGGGCTGTATGAGGATGGCCAAGACGATAATGCCATAAATCCCAAAGAGAAACTGACTTTGGTAACTTACAATCCCCAGAATTCAATTCCTTAACAGAAAAACCAAACAACTGAGAAGAATTCAAATCATATGTCTTAACGTCATTATTCAGGGAGTTCATAGCCAAAGGCCTCGCCAAACTAGAAGGGAAAGAATCAGCCCCGCAACATGCCACCTTCTCTGCGTCACTGGTACCAAGTGGCCGCCCTTGATAGCGGTCCAAAACATAAACACGCCCATCCTTTCTACCCGTTCCCAGAACCTTCCCGGTTTTCGGATCCTGCACAACACAACCGTGAGAATCAAAAGTCACTGCACACCCATCCTCTGCCAACTGCCCAACAGAAACCAGACTCGGAACTAACTGAGGAACATAGAGAGTATTAGCCAGACTAATATCACCAGAACAAGCAGTGCCAAGACCCGAAATTGGCAAGTGATCTCCATTAGCAACTTGTAACGACCTCATAGAACTGGGAGTAAGCGAAGTAAAACTCTTGGAAGAATTTGTCATATGGTTAAAGGCTGCAGAGTCAACTAACCAACGAGGTGATTTACCTGAAGAAGAGTCCGTAGCAAAGGCAGCATTCAGAAGTTGAGGAATAGCAGCCTGTAATGCATCAGCAATCATCCTGCGAACCTCTTCAGGAGAAAGTGAAGCACCCGAGGGAGGAGGAGCAGACCCAGCAGTCAATTGCCCAGGCAAAGCAATGGGCGCAGGCGCCACTGCATACCCAAGACCCGAAGTTCCAGCAGCCCGAGGTTGATGATTTGGGCGATAACCACCCTTCTTAGCAAGAACTTTGCAGTCGATAATAATATGGCCGCTTTGCTTGCAATAGATACATAGATTTCGACGCTTGCAATGAGGCTGGATATGACCTGGTTCATTGCAAAAATGACAAATCAACTTACTATTCGTGCCTTGCTGAAATTGAGGACGAGCGGAATTCCCCTTGCCAACCGCAAACGCAGAATTCCCTTCATGAGAGTGATCCAACTTGGCTTGGCTACGAAGCCGTGTCTCTTCTCGAATCAGCTCAGCCAACGCCTCATCAACACTACTCACTTGGCGGTGAAGAAGAGAAGCACGCAAGGGCTCAAATTCTGGACGAAGCTTGGCGAGAAATTGCATAAACCGGGAGCGCGAACGCTCCTGCACAACTGCGGCAGAGGCAGCCTCAGGAATTAAAGAAGCTGTAAGCATATCAGATTCCGTCCAACGTGTCATCAAGGCCTGATAATAAGTTCTAATGTCACGATCACCTTGATGAAACGAGGAGAGTTCGGTCTCAAGCTCAAACTGACGAGCTGCATTATTCTGAGAATATGTAGATCGGATATGGGTCCACATCTCAGAAGCCAACGTGAAACGGCGGAGACTCAAACCCGTCCCGACGTCGACGGAACCAAGTAACCAGTAGACTAACTGGGCATTCCCAGCCGCCCAATCCTCTTGATCCTTCGCAGAAGCATCCGTAGCAGGCCGAGGAAGCGTCCCATTCAAAATTGGCAATAAGCGTCGCCCTTCAACAAAACTCCGGAACTGAAATTCCCATAAGGGAAAATTGGCCCCGTCAAGTTTGGTTGTCACCATATCCTGCTTTCCAGGATCCATATTGCAATACAAAAGAGGACCAGCCGCCAAAGACACAAACAAGGGCTCGCTGGGAAAACAACTTGAGCTGACGAAGACCAAAAAACGAAGACCCGCAACCAACAATGACAGGTCGGAGAGAAACAATAAGTCAGCGGCAAACCTGAGTAGCAAAAGAAGCTGTGCGCTCAAAAAACCCACAGCGGCAGCACGTTCCAACGGACGAGGATTAGACCGCAGGCTCTGATACCATGACAAATAATCAACAATATGCAAAATCGAAAGAACACACAGGATTTTTTAACGTGGTATCGTCAGTATGACACTAGTCCACGGAGAGGATCTCCCTCTCAGGTTTTTTGTCTTTCTTATTTTCGTTAACCTTAATCAACAGATACAACAAGGTATTTATAGGTTTGCTAACACAAACCCTAGCTTCATAATTACACATTGGTACCTACACTAAATATAATCAACAGAATCTGCACAAACATTTCTACTAGCTAGGACGAACAAAGTTTTGATGCAACCATCTTGGAAGCATAACAATGGTCACCCTCTCTTATGTGTCTCTTGTCTTTGCAGGGAAGTACACTCCACAATACAAGTGGCTGGAAAACGAGTTCACCAAAGTCAACAGGACGGAGACGCCATGGCTGGTAGTGGTGATGCACGTCACGTTCTACACCGGCTACGACGTTCACTTCATGGAAGGGGAGACCATGCGAGTTGTGTACGAGAAGTGGTTCGTGGAGAACAAGGTCGACGTCGTCTTCGCCGGCCATGTTCACGCTTACGAACGCTCGGTAAGCAACACGTAACACCACTTGTTCATATCTTCACTCAAACTGACATTTTCATACTGATCACAATGTTAATATCCTGCAACTGCAATGGATGATCACAGGAACGCGTGTCCAACATCAAATACAAGGTAACAAACGGGATCTGCAACCCCATAAAAGATGAATCTGCTCCCGTTTACATTACAATCGGAGACGGTGGAAATCTCGAAGGATTGGCTACTGGGTAAGTAGTGAATTGGGCTCTCTTTGTCGTTAGATAATTACAATGTGCTGATTTTGGGTGGTGGTTTTTGTTTGCTGCAGCATAATTGATCCGCTGCCAGAGTACTCTGCTTTCATCGAACCGAGCTTTGGGCACGCGATCTTCGACGTAAAGAACAGAACGCATGCCTATTTCGGCTGGCATCGGAATCAAGATGGGTATGCGGTTGAAGCTGATACCATGTGGCTGCACAATAGGTACTGGAAGCAGTCTTAATTGATCGGAAATCCATCAGTTTGCTAGCGCGATGGATGGATTGCAGCTTAAGGAGTGTATCGATGTTTCATCTATTGGCTGGCTTTTGATACGATTCAAATGGCAGCTTTGATGTGATTTGAAACAATTGCGAGCTGGCTAATAAATCTATTGGGGTTGGTTCTTCCATTGTATGCGTTCTTCTCACTTGGGGCACAGTTTCTCAGTGTAATAATATGGATGAACATGACCTCGGTCGTCATTTAAGCCAACCGTACCCAAATCTTCCAATCCAGTCGCTAACTGGGCCACAATCTGTATGTACAACGCCCCACCCCGTGTTGTTGGGTTTGGGCTAAGGCCCAGTTTCCGTCTCTTAGGGAAAGTTTGTTAACAATAATTGGAAACAGTAACCCACATTTTTTTTTATAAGGATGATATATAGGTTTACTTTTTCTGGTTTAGTTACTATTCAAGAGATTCGAATCTGAGACATGTAGGTTCAAAATTAGTGGTATTATAACTAGACCAAACCCTTGTTCGAACCCGCAAATATTCTTTGGATTGGGCATGTTTGGAGGTTGAGAATCTCCAAATAGATGCATTTGTTCAATTTGAGTATTATCACCTGATGTATTGATTCAATGCATGTATTAGGAAAATATGTTGTTTGGAGGGACAATGATGAAACAAAAAGTAGGGTTAGACAATCCCTTATTAACAATCTCACTTTTTTTTTTTTGACAAAGGGAATTGCTTGTATTTACTCTAAAAGATTGGTTACAAGAGGAGCAAACAGAGGAAACTGGATCCAAAACAGAGGAGCCATCTGCAACAGGATGAAGTAAAATATGCTTGAGAGGTATAACATCAGAGAGCAAAGCACAAAGAGAAACAACCCAACAGGGGAGCAAACTCTAAAAAAGACAACAGCAAACCCAGAAGTCCTCTTGATTCCAAAACAATCAAAATAGAAACAAGCAAAGAATCAGCTCATCCAACAAAACCAAGACCGTGACGATTGAACTCAACAACGCCATCTGCCGCCTACTGGGAGTTGCTCAAAGACGACCCATCACAGTGAATCTTGAAATGAAACTAAGATTACATGGCGGTGGAAAGGGATGTGAATCAGACTGCTCCAAGCTGAAAAGGCAAATGAAACTGAGGCAGACAAGACCATGACCTAGGAGAGCGGATGACCACAAAACTCCGAGGGACAGAAGGGCAACCCCACGACATCTGGAAAAGGCACCGCCACCCACAATCCGTCAAGCTCGTGAGAGTCAGTTCCAAACCGCCAAGGGAAGACAGAGGGGAAGATGGTGTATGGATTCACCAAAAACGATGAAACCACCAGATTGGAGGAAGGCCACCATGCAGATCTGGAAGCGGCGCCCAATCTGCATAATCCATATTCCTGAGAACAAGCCCTAATCTAGAAGCAACTAGATCAGCAACAAAAATAAATCCATCTCCATAAGAGAGGATTGATGAAAGAACCCACAAAGGGAACAGGGAAAGGCCACAAAGGGCTTGAAATGCATGAAAAGAAAGGAGAAAGACAACCCACAGAAAACTGAAAAAGTAGCAGGAAAGCAAAACGGGCGGGCCGGGAGGCTTGGGCCGCCGCCGGCACCCCTGAACTGAAGAAAAGGAGATTGGGTTTTAGAGAGAAGGGAGAGTGAATTTGAATTAGAGAGAGAAAACATTTTTTTTTTCCCACAACAATCTCACCTTCTGGTAGAGACTTATAATGATTCATTTTGAGTGATTATAGGTGTGCGGTGTGCCAACAAAAAGGTAATACATGCATTCTAACTCAAAGTGAACCAAAAAAACTACTTAATCTTATCATTACATGTATTTGCTAAATACTTCACTTCAAATCTCAACCTCCAAACGACCGACCACATTTAGAGCTGCATATATGATGCCAGGTGGAGGGATATCATTGGATGGATTTAGTGGTTGGTTTCCGAGGTTGGTGTATGAAGTGGTTGGTTCAGATTTCTGATTTTGAGCAGTGAGCAGTGCGGCCTGAATCTAGAAGTCGGGTTTAGCGTTCTGTTCACATGTGTGTGAGTGACAAAGCCCCTATGATAATGACGAATTATTAATCCGATTAAATAGTTAATTAATGCATTGAAGATTTATGAACATGCAGTATCTAATTCGTCATCATTTGACTTGGAAAGGGAAAGACATCATGTGTAATTATTGAATTTACATAGGATCCTCAACCTATAAAATTTTGATTCTAACAAATAACAATATGAGAGCAACAACGCAAAAGTTGGCATGACTAGTTGTAACTTGTAAGCATTACTATTCCTTTGTGTGCTTTTCTCTTAACGAACATAGCTCGGGTCCTTAAATTCAAGGGCAGAGTAAGAATGTAAGTAATCAAGGTTGACATTTTGAAACATATGATTGTAAAAAGACCAAAACATACATATAAGAGGTCGTTTGGATGGACATTTGAATGCAAGATTTTGTCGCAATCTCACAAAATGAGAAATTCAGCTAAATTACACGTTTGGCAAGGGTTCTAAAAAATCAAGGTTTTTATCTATTTAGAATTTCGAAATCCAACGAGCGTGGATTTTCAATATCTTATGGGGGGTTAGCTGTTTTTAAATCCCACATCATTTAGTGTTTTTTTTCTTTTCAAAAGTGAACTTGCCCTCCCTTCTTCTTCTCCCACATCAATGTTTTTCTCCAATTTTTTTACTGTCGGCGATCTAAATCTAGAGATTGATAACACGCATAATTTGGAACAGAAATACCATTTGACACGAATATATGCCTTCTCTATGTCTAACTTCACTTCAAAAAATAGCCAACATCTTGTCTTAAAGACCATTACATGTCGGTTGACCTTTCAAAAATACATTTTGGAAATGATTCACTTCAAAAAACAGCCAACATTAAAAGTATAACGGCTGAAAACAACTCCCACTGTGCGTCTAGACTGCTTTACACTGCTCATTTAGACTGAAATTTACTGTGCGGGGGCTCAGCGGGGGATCTCCTGTGCGCAGGTGCAGCGGAATTCTGGTTGGATTCTGATGGATGGTTTGCCTTCGATTCTGGTTGGGAACATTTGGTTGTTCTCTTTCAGTTCTCTTGGGTTGGTTTGCCTTGGAGTTTAGTTCCCATCGCGTTGGTCGCAGGGATACTTTTATCGAACCGATGCTTTTGAGGGAAGATCTGCTGGTTAGGTTCTGAAGAGTTGTGGAGGTCACTTCCAATTGACACTCTCACGACTGCGAAGATCATTTCCATTTTTTGATTGATGTAGCCGCCGTTTTCTCTTTCCTATTTTGCTTTACACGTTGGGGTTTCTTATTCTAACGTTTCTTATTCTGCTCTATTGGGTTGTGAGTCTCTCTAGCTGTCAGAAGTTTCTTTTATCTTCTGTCCTTGGGGAAAAGTTTGGGGTGCTTTGTGCCACATATCTGCCTCGGCCATGTGAATGGTGCTTTGTCACTGGGTTGTGAGAAAATCGATGTTTGGATCGTTGTTGTGTGAGAGGAATACCTCGATCATTGAGCTGGAGGAGGTGGATATATCATATATCAGGGGGGTTGGTTCTGCCTGGGCTATTTTTAGATTTTACCTCCTTTTCTGTTAGTTTCTTCCTCTTCTGGTGCTCTACCCTGGTCGTTGTTATCGTGCCTGTTCGTTTCCATGGATTCAACTCTTCTATGTAATCTGAGAGGGGGGAAGTCGGAATGTCACTCTTCGTCTTCGCCTGCTTCACATGTGGCTCGCCAAAACCCCATCTGGTTCTAGGATTTTTAACCATTGCTTCCTTTGGGTTGATCAAACGGGTAAGCGACTGAGAACTGACTTTGCTCTTCATGGTTTTAGTTGATCTAGATGTGTTGCCTGAGTTTTGTGTTCGGCGTCAAGTTCGCCTGTTTTGGTTGATTTATCATTTGATCTCTGCTTTCGGGTGAAGATTTTTGGCCTGATTGTTATGATTCTCACTGTCTGTGACTATGTATGCACATTGAATGTTAATTCAGTCACTTTCTGATCCGGAGATGGCTGCGGGTACGGAACGTGCTCTGTCTGTTGGCACCATTTATATAATCAGCCAATTTGGCCTCCAGACTACAAAAGGCCTCTACAGAGCTTGCTCTTTTGATTTGACTATTAGGGTGACAAGATCAACGGGATTCCAAAAGTGCACTCTTCCAGCTGCTGGCTTTCCTACGGATTCTTTTGAGATCATGATATATGGTCAACTATACTAGGAGTGGGAATCATGCTATTCTCACAGGTTTTGTTCTTTAGTCATGCTTTTACCCTTTGGGGATTCTTTGCTGTTTGGTCGAGATGAATTCTGATCGGTCATTTTGTTTATCTGTGTGTGTGTGTTTTGGAGATGTCATTGGCCGACTACATTCCATTAGTGGCATCGTTCATAAGATTACAGAGTTTGGTCCTACGCCTAAGCAGACCTTGGTGCTTGAGAATGAATTGTATGTATACTTCTCTGTTTATTGCATTGAAGGGTCCAACTTTTGAGTCTTTAATTTAAGTTTGTACATGATGTGATATGTTGTTGATTATGCCAGGGGCGGAACAATCAATATAACGCTTTGGAATGACTTGACGATCGTTTTTGATCGCACAGCTTTAATTCAGGCAGATGTGATTGAGCCAGTTATTATTGTTGTTGGAAGTCTTATGGTTTCTTTGGTGAATGGTATGTCTTTGTGTTTGTGTGAGAAATTGCTCTTTGTGATTGTATTGGAGATTATGATGGTTTGGGATTCTTAGTGTTATGTTTGGTTGTGTAGGATTTATGATTTGTTATTTCTTGCAGGAAATTACGTATGCTCAAGTTCATCGGCTACTAGGGTGGCTGTCAACCCACAGATTCCAGAAGCATATAATCTGGCTACTCAGTTAGTAACTTCGGTTTCTTGCATCTCATTTCATTTATCTTGGTTGCTTTTTGGTAGGTTCTGATGTTGTCTGTGTTGCCTTTCAAAATCAGTTTTGGCGTGGCAAGGAACCCGGTGGCAGAATTGGCAGTGCAATTTGCCACAGCTGAGCAAGCTGTTGCTGATGCTGAAGACAGAACTCGAACCATTGCTGAACTGATGGTGCTTTATCATGCTGGAATATCTGTGGTATGGAATTAGATTGCTTTGTTTCTGTTTTGGATGGCATTTACTTGCATAAGTTGGTGGTCTGATTTTTTATTCCTTTGTTGGGAAACTCAAGAGGCCAAATACTGTTGTGGCCAATTGTATGTTGCTGTTTCGAGGGTGAGATCTGCAGACGGTTTACACTTTCTCATTGTCAACACAGATGGTATTCCAGCTAACTACACCAGAAATATTGCCTTTACTGAAGCTTTTGAAGACATCAGCACAAATCGGGTCAGCATTTCACACCTGTAACATAGCTGAAAAAGACATTGATGTTGAGCCGTTTCATGTTATTTACATTAAAATCACACAATGTTTTTC